CCCCAAAACCCCAAAACCCCAAAACCCCTAATTAAGATCTTCATGTTGAAAATTGAGAAATGGATGCTGAATTGGATTGGGAAGGTTTTAAGAAGGTTTGGAGTAAGAAATGAAGCAAAAATTGGTATTATAGGTTTTTTAGAGTGGTGTTTGAGTTGAATTTGATATGTTTGACATCTGTGTCTGAGTTTGTTATTATTTAGGGTGGTTAAAAGGGAGGAAATCTAGAATAAACTTAGTGTTTTCGATATTATTAAAAGAAGACGAGGCTAATGACAAGGGGAAATCTGATTTGGTTATACTTTTTCCTTCATTAAACTATGTCCCATTTTCTCCACTTCATAGAAATTAAAGAACAGAAGCTATTAGTAAATATTTGAAATTCACTTATTTCAAATTACTTAATTTCTCCTTAAATTTATCTATCAATTTCGAGAGAAATGAGTAAAATAAAAGAAATGATATCATCGAAGCTCACAATTAAATGTCTAGAGATTTTATCCATTTAATAGCACTCGGTCGATTGATTCCTTAATCTTTATCATCAAAGATAAAATAGTTTTATATAAAACTTAACCAAAATTCCAAAAAAGAGTGATTAGCTTGCCCCTCTCTATTTATCATCTGTAAGGTTATTACTAACATCGTGAGTCTAAATGCTCGAAGGAACTGCTAATTGACAAACTGCTTCTGAAGTACTTTTTGGGGGAAATTAAGTGTCAAATTAAGATTTTCTGAATCATATTACTCTCGCTTTTAAATAAATCAGACTCAGCTAATTCTAAAATTAGCTATTATTTTGAAACATCGTCTTGCTAACCAGATAAAATGTTTGGCATATTTTCAAAAACAATGCTTGAAGACGATCACCATTTTGTAGATTTTTAAATAATAATTTTCTTCCAAGGATACTCAAAACTACCTAACCAACAAGTCAAGGGCTATGAAACTCTATGAATACGGCTAAATTTTATTATTAGCTTAATGTCTTAAAATCAGAACATCTTTCGCTGCGTTTTAGAGATCCTTCCCCAACAAAGAAGGCATTATTAATTTATGAAGAATCGAAAAGCACACGTTGTACTCTAAAACACTGTTCAAAATTCAGTGGATGTTTAAGCAGCTGAACAGCAGGTTAATATAAAGAGCCTAGTCATTCTCAACTTTTTGTGGGATCATTAGTTGGTCTGAGCATTTTAGCCATCCAGAGAAAACATTGTTGGCTTATACATAAAGACAATAAAGTAAAGATTTAATAATATTAATTTAAATATGGACTTGAACATAAACTGGAATGCCATTTCAAGAGATTCCCTCCCAATGTGAAACTTACTCAATGAAATGAGAGAATTTTGCAAGACCTATTGAGTCTGCCATTTAGGAGGAGCCTATGATACGAGAAATCAAAGTTTTTGATCACAAGAAAATCACATTTCTCTGCCAACTCCAAGTGCTTCAGAGGTTTCACCTTACATAAGGTAAAATTGGTTCTTATATAAAATTTATAAAATAAGTAGTATCCAAATTTTAATACGTAACTCTTCTTTTATATTAATCTAATCATGCAATAGTTTACCAGAGCAGGATAAAAAATATTCTGAACTTTTTCTTGAAGCAGAAGAAGGCTCACCTGAAGTAAAAACCAACCAACTTTTAACATCTTCTGAGCAAACACAACAATCAAGTGAAGAACTCAAAAATGATCCACCAACAGTCAGAGAAATCAGATATAGAACAAATCGGTCTCAGAGGCTTGATATTACTGATAAACTTACAGTCTTGAGAGGTCTTCTTCTTAAAACGCGTGTATCCTCTTTAAGATGCTCGGCTAAGAAGACAAGGTATACTAAGAACAAGTACCTAGGAAGGAGGTCTAAGTACATCGGAGTCACTAGAAACAACATCCACTGGCAAGCATTGATCAACGTGGACCATAAGAAAAAGTATATAGGTACTTTTATTGATGAAATTGAGGCTGCCAAGACCTACGACTTGTATGCTCTGGCAATGCAAGGCAGAAGAGCCAATCTCAACTTTAGCTATAAGCCTCAAAAGATGATAGAAATAATCGACCATTACCTTGCAAATGGACGTATAAACCTCAATAACTAAACGCGGCTTTCATTTAATTGATCGGCGAGAGGCTAAACCACAGTGTAATTTCACCTAAAATGTTAAAATCTATATATCAAGAATTAATATTTATGTGGCATTACTATTAATTTTACTCCAATATTAGCCCTCTACAGTGGGGTTTTGGGGTTTTGGGGTTTTGGGG